ACTGAATGGATGTGAAATGGCAAATTTGTTGGTAGAACCTGAACAGTTATCAGATGCTGGTTCGTGTCAAGAAGCTGAGAGATGCATGCTTCTCATCTTAATTCAAGGGTGAAAAAAACAGATTTTAAATTTTTAATAAGAAGAAAAATGCTCCAGAAAGTGCTCTTGGTGAATCTAAGKTTAGTGAAAACACTGGGAAGTTTGAGGATGTAAAGCACTCATCCTAAAGCACATCAGCATTCAGTAAACCATCACAAATAATTTTTCAGCTGTCAAGGGCAGAAGGACAATATTAAGAAAGCAGAGTGACTCTAGCCCCTTTCTCATCTTAAATAACACAAGGAGTRTCCACCCACTCTGGGAAGCCAGGAAAAGCCACTTGTCTTTCATCAGGCAATATGACCATCACCAGAGCTTTCAAAAACGTTATTTTTTCCATTCAGCTCACCATTTAACCACACTGCACAGAATCTTAATTTGCATTTGTATCATAGTCCACTGAAGAAGAAAAAAAAAAAGTGAGGATCAAGGAAAAAGTCTTCCACAGGCAAAACACTAAACTAGAGGAACAGAAGCAACAGTCTGACTTTCCATAGGGATAAACTGCCACTTGAAATGAAACCTGTGTGTGGTGCAGAAGCAGCATACACCAGGAAAGCAGTACCAAGTAACTCGAAGTTGTCAGGTTTAATTAATTGATTCTTAAAAATGCCTGATACAAACAAAGCATTAAACTCTCTTGATTGATTATAACCTTATCTTCAATAATCTGATGAAGACATTCATCTGAGTAGGGAAACATGCAAGTCAGGTAACTCAGAGCTAATGTCTTAACTGAGCAAGTAAATTACTCCATGGAGTTCAAGGCACACTCATTATTTAAAGAGGTACCTCACCAGAGCTGGTAAGGGTTTTTCATTCTTTTAGCAGGGCTGCAAAATATTTGACAAGAAATAATCTCAGACTTTATGGCCTAAATGTATCTGAAAGTTTTTTAAGCCTTACTGAAACTCATCTGTATCACAAATGTAACATTCTGGTCCTTGACTGCCAATGTAATTTTTAAAATAAGAGAAAGTGAAAACTAGTTTTTTAAAGGTCTAAGTGAGTGRGGAACCTATCTCCAGTTTTCTCTTCTTTTCTTAATACCATTTAAGTTGAACATTTATTTTTATCATCAATTCAGCCTTAAAATGCTGCCTTTTACTTCCTTGCAAACAATCTGAGGACACAGGGACCACATCCATCTCCATCTTTCCCCCTCGTTGCTCAAAACAAGCAATCAAATAGCTGTGTGCACACAAGTTCACAAGCTGAAAGCTATGCTGAGCCTTCAGAAGACAATAATCTGGAATAACTCCCCACCTGGGTACTCCTCCAGTAATAAGAGTACTAGTGTACAGTATCAGCACAGGGACAGCTACAGCACCATCGGTYCCCACCAGCTTTTCTGGATCTAGCTTCTCCAATTGGACTGGTCGCACGCTAGAGAAGTCCGGGGTCTCCACAGTGTCTAAAAATCCATCCAGCACCAGCGTGATTATTGATCCTGTCTGACTGCAGACAGTGCTGGGTTCACTGCAAGGCACAATCTCATTACCTGGGGGCAATTTTTCAGAGTGTCCTGAAATCACAGTTAAGCAATTTAAAGGTTTAAAAGGATTTCTCCCRGAATCAAACACAATGAGAAAGGAAAGGGAAATATGAGAAGCATCTGAAGACCATCACAGTCCTGCCTAAGTATCCTGTTCAGCAAAGAAATGCAATTTTAATGAAACTCTTCTCTCTGTTTTATCAACACGGTGCTGCTAAAGGGAAATTAAAGAACACTTGTGTTTTAGGTCTTTGTCGTGGTTTGAACTTGACTGAAAGCCAAAAAGCACCCACGACGTTCCCTCCCTTCCCCCCACTGGAGAAGGCAGAAGGGAGAGCAAAAGCCCAACTAACAATAAAATTTATGGCTTTTAGATAACATAACATAATTGAGAGAAAGATACATATATGATCCAGAAAATGGTCAGACAGGCTGAAGAACTTAAGTTGCAAAATAGATTTAGTGCTAAAAACTACTAAGAATATAACCGCACCGGGGAAGGGAACAGAGATAGGAAAAAATTTACAAGGAGAAGAAGTAAAAACAGACATTTCAAGACACCTGTTATTCTTTCTGGGAACCTGTCTCCTCTCTCAGGCTGCCCCTCCCGACCCCTCCATGCCTTCACGGTGCAAGAGGGGCAGGGATGAAAGTTTTAACTAATCATTATGGTTATCGTCCAGTACCATAGGAGAAGAGTTCTTACAGCTCCAAGCTGTGGAAGTTCTTTTCCCAAGAAACAGTCAGCATATAACTGCTGATGGTATGGGATTCTTTTTCTTTACCTCGTGGGAAAAAGGAAAAACAGTCCTCCAAGGCCGACTGCTTTTTTCCCAGAGCAAGGTCRCTCTCTCAAATCTCCTGGCAGAACACAGTTTCTTCTAAGCATCAGCTCACTTCAGGTGGAGGGCGGGGGGAGAGCCACCTCTTTCCCCCCAAAACTCAGTTTCTTCTGAGCATCACTTCGTTTCAGATGTGAGGGGGGGGGGCAAGTCTCTTCCCCCTTTTTTTTTACTTATGATCAGTCCAGTCCTCAAAGGTCAGGTTTTTTATCTCGGGTGCAGGGCCTCTCTTTTCTATACAGGTCTCCCATTGAAGAAGTAGTCATTTTGAGAACAGCTTGTTTTCTCCATGTTGAGCACCACAGAAAAAAAAAAAAAGCAACAGCACCTGTCTTCTTCTTACTGTGATCTTGGGTCTCCGTTTTTTTTTCCTTACATCTCCTCACCCTCCTCCTCTGTCCTCCCCCTGGTGCAGGGGATGATACTAACAACCTAAAAACTAAATGGCAGCTGCAAACTATCTTGTTTTGAATTCTTATTAAGTAGAAGACAGTACGTCATCACAGAAGTGTAACTAGCATGTTCAATTGGCCCAGGCCTGACCAGCAGCCTGTCCATCAACCTCAGAGCCTCAGTGGATTGGGGCAGGGCTCCTTTTGCTGGAGGGCTCCTTTTGCTGGAGAAGGAGAAAGCTTCTAGAACTTTGTCACAGGAGCCATCTTTGTGGTTTCTTAGTCCCATCCCTCCACCACCAAAAACCGGACTGAGTAAAATCAGGACATTCTTCCAAACCAAAGTCACATAAACAAAGCTGGGCTATTTTAATGGAAACCCTGATGACAGATCCAGGCACCTGAGAGTTAGTCATACAAAGGACTGTGTCACAGTTAAAAACTGAGCTGAAACTTATCTTTCTGTGCTGTTTTAGAGCTATTAGGTAGTTAAGTCCRAAGTGATGGCAAACACTTATCGACAGTTAATGCAGTACTCCTGCGATGTATTATTAGGCACAAACCCAGAGGCACAAGGCCAAGTCCTGTTAATCTCCTGGCGAGTGCCATAGTGTCTCAGATATGTACTGCCTGAAAATACCCAGTGATATCGCTAATGTTTTTTAAAAGGCAGGAGTCTTGAGTTTTCACAGAAAYTGATACACTGATTAACACACCAAAATAAAAGTGTAATGGAAAAAGCMCTGCTTCACCCAGTTTTTAATCCCCATTTCCCCACATCAGGAGTGATGCACTAAAAAAATACTATCCTCCTTTGCTTTACCTCATGTTTTACTTCAGCAGTGTCAAATCAGATCTTTCTTGCTTGGCTAAAAACCTTTTCAAAACAAGTGAAAACATCTATCAGCTTTTACCCAAGGGAAATGAATTGCTGAATATTCAATCATAGGTTTCCTTCCAAATGCTCTGCTTGTTTGTTTTAGAGAAGCCTTAAGAAGGGCAAGTGAAAGGTTTGAAATCCTCTGAGCAAAGCTGACTTCCTTCTCTGAAGGTCACCCTCAAGTCATTTCAGAACCGTGGAAATAGCCAGAGGAGGGATAAGCACACTCAAAAACCAGCTTTTCTCATCAAGTTAACTTTGGTGCTTTAGGCTGAACTAAAAAATGCCCTCAGGTGGAGGTCTGCTGCTTTTTACGGACCCAGTCAATTTTACCCSGGGGAGAAAGATGCGGTGAGAAGTTCTTGCAAAAGTTACTCCTGCACAATCACTTCAAAGAGAGGAGACCTTGCCTCTTTAGAAAGACCCCTGGAGAAGTGATCAGGCTCGTCAAGGGTCTTAGGGTCAAGTACCTGCTTCTTTGGGACAAACCTTAAACACTATTTTCAGGGCCAGTACTAMCACCACAACATTAAAACCATATGGTGTAGATCTGAATCCAGACAACTCCSTCATATTCCTTCAGAATTTATGGTCTGATCATACTAATAATATGCACTCAAATTACTCACAGTAATGCATTTAGCAAATATTAACTATGACTGCCATGCCTATTCAGAGCAATTTTTGCATAGTATCCAAACTGAAATTCATAACCACTTTAGCTAAACGTTATTTAGGAGATGTTGCAGCCTGACTAAAGACTTAATTTCGTGTAAACCTTGAGAAAGACCGAGGAAAGCAGCGGGAGCTCTGCCTAAGCGAAAACTACAGATCTGGGGCTCCTGTGCAGCTCCATGCACGGCCACACCACCGTCATTCCAGCGACAGCTCCGCACACCCCGCTTCTGTAAGGAAAGCGGATGGCCACCCCAAAGCCCCAAGCCAGCAAACGAGCAAAGAAGCACTCCGGGGCAGTCCGGGCAGGGCAGCCGCCCCAGCGCAGTCCCGTTGCCTCCTCCCGCGGGCGCGGTGCGGGCAAGGCCGCCCGGCGCTCTCTCCGCAGCGCAGGGCAGGGCAGGGCAGGGCAGGGCCGGGGGCAGCCGGCGGGGCCGAGGCGGGGCGGCCGCGCTTAATCCCGGCTCCGGCAGCGCCACTCGCTCGGGCACGGCCCGAGGCACGGACGGGACCCGGCAACTTCGCGCACGGTGCCGCCGGCCGGAGGCGAAGTTGCCGCCACCCAGCGCCAGTTCCTCGCCCAGCGGGTGCACCCGCCCGCCCGCAGCCCTTCTCACCTCAGGCACTGCCTCCTCCCCGCCGGCACCGGGGATGGCCCCGGCTGCTCCCCGCTTCATCGCCGCGGCCCTCTCCCCGCTCTCCAGCTCGCTCCRGCTGGCACGACCCCGCTCGCCGCCGCCGCAGCCCCAGCGCCGGCCCCGGAGCGCCGCCTGCCGCCGGGGCACGGCCCCCTCACACCCCCGGAGCGCCGCCGCCCCCTGCCAGCCGCCAGGGCAGCGCTGCCCCAGCCCGCCCGCAGAACCTCAGCGGGCACCGTCCTGCCCGGGGAACAGCGTTCGAGTTTCATTCACRTATTTAACCACGGCCCCCTCCCCTCATTGGGGCGATGCGGGCCCCGCCGCCCGGGAAGGGGCGTGAGTTACCCGAGGGCTCAGCCCGAGCCTGTCCRTGCCGCGCTTTCGGGCAGCGACCGCGCTCTCCCCGCGCCGGACCTGTGGTGGCYGCGCTGCGGTCCCGGCCCAGTGTCCCGCTCCGCTCCGAGCCCGCGGATRGCTCCGTGCAGCCGGCAGGTGAGCGCTGTCAGCGAGGCGTGCCAGGCGCTTCCCAAGGCGCGGAGAGCCCTTTCCCCGCTGCAGTTCCTGCCCCAGCCCGGCCGCGGCTGGGAGCCCGTCGGGGAGGCGGGAGCGGTGCSGGCAGCGCGCAGGGCCGGTGCCCCGGCAGAGCGCGGCTCGGTTCCGAGCCTGTCCCGAGTGTTCGCGTGTGCCGGGGCTGCCGGGAGCCCTCGGCGGGCAAAGCGGGGAGCGGCGTTCACAGACGGTCGGGCAGAGACATCATTACCCTGCCTGATGTTTCCGAGCTGCGAGCGGCGCTTGGGGGAATGTTAAGCCTTTGGATGCCGCTGCGTGCGTTCAAGTTCTGCCCGCGCGTACACCGCTTGTACATCGCCGCAGGATGCCGCTCCGCCGGGCGAGCAAAAGAGCATATCACACTTATAACTTACTTTAGCAACGACGATGCTCTACCCCGCCTCGTCCCTCTCCCCCTTCCACCCCCCATCAGTACCAAGTTACAACCTATTTGTAAGGATCCTGAGATGCCTCTTATCTTCTGCCAGCTTCTTCAAAATGCATTTGTGGCTAGTACCTGACTTCAGATTTTTGTCACTCGTAACACATTTTGTTTTATTTTATTTAGTGTGGATTCTGGCATTCATTAATTTAAATTTGGGGTGTATTTTTTAATATTTCCTTTCCTTCCCCTTGGGGAAAATTCTGGCGAGTTTTGGCATCTGTCATGGTTTTTGCCTCTTAATAATGAAGCAAAGATTATGTGTGTATTAATTAGTTTATTTTMTCAGTTAGTGGATCAGCTAGATGCAAGAATTTGTTAAGTCAAACTTGATAAGAACTGTCAGTCCCAGGCAGCCCCTGCTCTCTGCAAGAAGCCAGCTCTGTCTCAGAGAAAGCAGGACATAGCTCTGCCTGTATCATCTGTAGCTATTAGGGAGCTTTTCTTTGTACATATATATGCATTTCATGGTTTTTAGTTATTATTGCTTACATCCACTACAAAATCTATCACTCAACAATTCATTGCTCTTCAACTATTTGGTTTTAAAGTTAGCAGTCAAGAAACAATTGTCAATTTAAGTACATTCCCTTCTAATTTAATTTCATATTGTTTGTCTTGTATTATGAAAAGACAAACAAACAGGACCTTGCTCATGTCCTTCTCAGCTCCATCTCAGCACTGCTTCTTGCATATTCTCCGTGAATCACTCCCTCTGCTCTCCACTGAAGTCTGGAAGCGAGACAGGCATCACAACATCTGACCTTGCTTATATCAGAATTAAAGAACTGTTTGAAACCACTTGTCTTTCTCATACAGCAAGATGGTTTCATTTTTTTTTTTTTTTCTGCTTGACAGCACAGATAGCCTGGAACATATTTCCACTGGCATGAGATTTTCATGGATTTATTTTTCTGTGCCAGTTCTGTTTATACATTTAACTTCACCTGTATTTGCTCAAAATATTCCATGTTGAAATACACAGATAAATGTATGTTTTCCTCATCTAACTCCTAATAAATAATTTGACAAGTCTATGGAGCTTAGGAGCCCAYTTCTATTCACAAATTGATGTGGTACTATGTTGGGGTTTAAGTTCRATTTTCCCRGCCACTGCACCAAAAATGTAGTGGTTTGAACTTGGTCGAAAGCCAAAGCACCCACGACGTCCCCCCCCCACACACACCAGGAGGGAGAGCAAACAGCCCAATCAACACTAAMATTTATGGCTTTTAGATAAGAATTGAGAGCAAGATACATATATGCAATTGCATATATGTTCTCAATTGCAAATTGAGAGAAAGATATATATATGCTCCAGAAACAGACAGGATCAAAAMACTTGAGTTGCAAAATAGATTTATTACTAAAAATTACTAAGAATACTACCRCACCAGGGAGGGGAACAGAGATGATAGGGAAAAAYTTACAAGGAGAAGAAATAAAAATGGGTAWTTTAAGACMCCTGTTATTCTTTCTGTGAACCTGTCTCTCCTCTCTCAGGTCGCCCCTCCCCACCCCTCCATGCCTTCCCGGTGCAAGAGGGGCAGGGATGAAAGTTTTAACATAGCTCCAGCACCATAGGAGAATAGTTCTTACAGCTCCAAGCTGTGGAAGTTCTTTCCCAAGAAACAGTCAGTGTACAACTGCTGATGGTATGGGATTCTTTTTCTTTACCTCRTGGGARAAAAGGAAAAACAGTCTTCCAAGGCTGCTTTGCTTCATTCTGAGGGCAAGGCCACTCTCTCAAATCTCCTGGCAGAACACAGCTTCTTCTAAGCTTCAACTCGCTTCAGAGGTGGGGGGGAGGGGGGCACCTCTTATCCCCAAAACACAGTTTCTTATAAGTTTCTACTCGCTTCAGGCGTGGGGAGGGGCACCTCTTCCCCCTTTTTGGCTTATGATCAGTCCAGTCCTCAAAGGTCAGGTTTTTTATCTCGGGTGCAGGGCCTCTCTTTTCTATACAGGTCTCCCATTGAAGAAATAGTCATTTTGAGAACAGCTTGTTTTCTCCATGTTTGAGCACAAGCAACAGCATGTGTCTTCTTCTTACTGTGATCTTGGGTCTCCGTTTTTTTCTCACATCTCCTCTGTCCTCCCCCTGGTGCAGGGGATGATACTAACAACCCAAAGTCTAATGGCGGCCGCCCTCTATCTTGTTTTGAATTCTTCTTAAGTACAAGACCATACGTCATCACAGAGGTATAACTAGCATGTGCAATTGGCCCAGCCCTGACCAGCAGCCTGTCCATTAACCTCAGAGCCTCAATGGATTGGTTCTAAACACAGAGGGCTCCTTTTGCAGAAGAAGAAGGAGAAAGCTTCTAGAACTTTGTCAAAGGAGCCATCTTTGTGGTTTCTTGGTCCCATCCCTCCACCACCARAAAACCGGACTGAGTAAAACCTGGACATACTATTATCTTCAGAAGTTAATTTTCAGCTTGCTSGCATATTATCCCCCTGTGAAGGGGGAAAGGATACCTTTTCCTTTAGACTCACAACAGAATAACTCCTAGCATTGTGTTGCTGATTTGTTTGGATTATTTTAACATCTCAGATATTATACTCCCATGAGGAATTTAGTTTAGGATTTGTGTTGTCTCATCCAAAAAGATTTTGCAGGTCAATAAAATATTTCAGCTGAGTGTCAAYAAGCATTCTTCAAATACATTCAGTTTCTCAGGACTCTTTTGGATAAGAAGTGCTAGGGATAASAATTTATGCATATATTAGTATGTGTGTTTTACAGATGGAGAAGTTGAACCACCATGATTAAATTAGTTCACCAATGACTAAAGAAACAAGACATAGCCAGAGGCAGTAAGAACCATACTAAAGCTGTAATTTTATCATTTCACCCTGTTGTTTTAGTCACAAGCTGGTGTAAAAAGTTATCTATCTCCATCTGTCTGGAATGGACCAAGTGGAGAATTGGAAGCTTTCGCAGAGGATGTGCCTATGAACAGTGGCATCAGGCAGGAGGTGAACTCTGTGTTAAAAATAGGAATCTACTGTCTAAAGGGGAGAGAAAGGTGATAGTGACCATGAGCTTTGGGCACCTGGGGTGTGTGTAGACTGTGCAGATGGTTGTAGAAAGATGGTCCTTGGATACAGTRGCAGGAACAAAAGGAAGCTCCTGGAAGCCTGACTCCCACTCTTCAGCTCTCATAGCAGACAGAAATCCCAGAGATGGGTGAGTGTGTCTGTGAAGACTGTGTTGAACGCTATTATTGTAATACTTTTGATYGATTGTCACAAAGTACTGCTGAGTGTGTTTTTGAAGAGAGAGAGAGGCAGATAGCAAAATTTTTGTACCTGTCATGGAGATAATTATTTTTGTAGCTGAAGGGAGGGAAGGAGATGGTGGGAAAACAAGAAAGGGAAATGAAGCATCTCTTGCTTCAGGTAAAAGTGATTTTTCAAACAGGAAAATAATTAAGCTGAACTTCTATTTACATGACTGCAACCGATTCCATTCGGGGCAGCTGATGGGAACAAAGTTCTCAGAGCTAAGAAATTAGGGGAGGATAATATAATTGTGTCAATGACAGCAGTCCAGAAGATGCAGTAGTTTTCCCCTCAAGCTATTTGTGAGTAAAGGAGTCGTGTGCATGTGCAAAATATTAATGATCTATTAGAGCAGTGGCCATATGTATACATTACATAAATTTGGCCATGTATATATTACATAAATAGACTCTTTTCTGTGTATTTTCGTTCTTCTRTCTGGGACAATTTACAGTTTTCTGCCAACTATTTATATCATTACATAATTACATAACCTGTTGCAAGCAGGATGTACTTTTATATTAAAGCTGATTTTTCAAATTATTTCAGGGGAAATTACTCAGGTTGGAAAATCACAGGAGTTAAAGAAAAGAAACAAAAATCAAGAAGGTCACTGAAGATGTAATGGAGCTAGTGTGGTGATGGCTTATATCCTTTTTRTGTGGAAATAATATTGCTGTGAGTTACAGCTCTGACATCTCCTTTTCTGTTAGACATCAGGTTATGTTTTTTGTAACTTTGCTCAGAGTCACAGCAATGAAT